TTCTATTCTATTCTATTCTATTCTATTCTATTCTATTCTATTCTATTGTTTCTATTTCTATTCCATTTTTCAGCTCAATATAATTCTCAGCCCAACATAACACTTTTGTGAGGAAATAAAGAAGATAGTGGTATGCCTTCTTGGGCAGAAATGGGATGTAAATCAAATGAATCAGTAGTAATTGCTTACTTTATAACACTTTTTATTTTTAAATATTATTCTAATTTTGATCCAACAATGATTATACTGATGTCTTATTGTTATAATATAAGAAAATATTCAAGCTGGCCAGAAACAAATATAATATTGCCTTTAAAATTCCCAATTTTCCAGCTAAATGAGGATTATGGTACAATTTTATGCATCTACTCCAAAACACATCCTGTTGTGATTTGAGCACAATATATGAAATGAAATGCCTACTGTGCTTATACAAAGTTATGCATTTATAGACAATTTACAAATCCAGGATGCAAGCATACATTAGGGACAAACATGCTGAAAAGTCTTCAACGTCCAGGTGAGCTAATAGCTTTTTAAAAATTACCATAATGTTGTTGGCCACCATAGGCACACTGTAAACACACAATAAGTAAAGGTCATTGATACTTTGAGAAGGATATATGATACCCATGCTTTGCTATGAAACTATGTGGTTGGGCTTCGTTTTTTGGGGAGGAAAATAAGGGGAAAAAATTCTGCCTCTGCCTACCAGCATCCATCTGTATTCATCTGGCTACTGTCCTGTCAGTGTATACGGATGTGAGAGAGTTGAGGGCTGTTTGGAAACTGAAACAATATTTGCTGTGTGAGCAAGAAGGAGACAGCAAGGCATGGCTTAGCTCAAGTGTTCTAAAGCTGCTTGGTGCTTTGAAACTGAAAATCCTCTCCACTGCTTGTGTTTTGCATTTGGAACAGATTTCTTTTCAGGTGGGGAGGGGGAGAAGAACTCGTTGGCATCAGAGTGTGTTAATAATAATATGCAAAATACTAATGCTCTGATGGTCATTTCAAAAAATTATTTCTTAGTGAGCACCTAGGATATGTGCCAAATTTCAAGTTTGTCCGCTTTACGGTTCTGAAGATTTTGTGATGATGAGTGAGTGGTATTTTGCATATATATATGTGTGTGTTTTCTTAAGTTTTCACGGGTATTTATATGTATGGTATTCAGCTTTGTTTGGTTATTTTCTCACGTCATTATAGTTGTGCTTTTAAAGTTGTAGCAACGTTTCGGCAGAATCTCATCTGCCATCATCAGGCTTCTGTATTGTGTTCGTCTGTATCTGTATCGTCGAAGAACACAATACAGAAGCCTGATGATGGCAGATGAGATTCTGCTGAAACGTTGCTACAACTTTAAAAGCACAACTATAATGACGTGGGAAAATGCCCGAACAAAGCTGAATACCATTCATGTAAGTACCCGCGAAAACTTAAGAAAACACACACACACTATATAGTTAATATCGTAAATATTAAATAAATGACAATGTAATAATAAGCAGTAGAAGAATACTTACATCCAATAAGGTGTGGGCACTATCGCTACTTTCTTTGGTTGTTCTACACATGGCTTGGTAGTCATACAGAGTAATTCTATAGAGAAGAATAGAAAACTGCTTGACTAGAAGGAAAAAAATAAACCGAAAAATAATATGATATGCAACACGACTTGCTCACAAGGCAAAAATAGCAATAGCATTTTTAAACGAAGTGGTTGAATTATAGAATTAACACATACACAGATTTTAAAAATTCACAAAATAGAAGTATGCATTTAAAAACTAAAATATTGGTTTCTGTTCCCTTGGCAATTCTAAAAACAGTAACACTGAAGTACCAAAGTACTAAACATTGTGCTTATAAATAGTTTAAATAACACATATTAGAATGTCTAATGGTGTTATTTGTTTTTTTTTCTGGGATAAAAAACAGTATTTTGTATTGTCTGGTGCCTCAAAATAGTCTGTCACACATCCACATGCATCGTCACTTTCTATATTTATGTAAAAGGAAAGAAACAAATGAGATAATTTTCTTTTACTACAGGGTAGTAAAAGAAAATTATGTAATTAAAAAAAAAGATTATAAAACCCAACTCTTGATTGCAAATATATACAAAAACCCAACTAAAGTTATGTATATTTAGATCCATGGATATCCAGGATATTCTTTGTAAGCATGAAAGACAGTGTTTTTTTTCCCAGTGAATTGAATGATTGTATTTAGCAAGTTGCTTGTTGTCAACTATATATATTTATTAAAGTGTTTCTAGAACCAAAGGCCTATTTGATGTCCAAAATCTGCGGAGGCTGGTGAAAACATTACTTAGATCAGCAGCCCTCAACCTTTTGGGTGCCAGGGACCGGTTCCGTGGAGGGCATTTCCCCCCGCAGACTGGTAGTTTTGTATACTAACTGGATCTCATGTGTGTGTGGATAGAGAGCCTTGGCTTAGATTACTTAGGATAGGCCTTCCCCAGTTTTGACAAATGCTCTTCCACTGTGATCTGATGTTCAAAAAAAGAATGGGAAAGAAAGAATGGAATGGTGAAGACTCTTCCTTTCTCCCTCTTTTCTTCCCCGTTTCTCCAGAGCCATGGGGTTGTGCATGTGAAACACTGCTCATATAGATACGCTTGTCTCTTTGATGCTCTACGATAGCTGATTCCAGATTAAAGCTGAATCAGAAAGCACATTTCATATGTTTTGCATTATTGCAGAGTGTAGCCCATTTGATTTTTATGGGGTTTTAATGGGGATAGTGGTTTCAATTTGGTTTAATTGGGTTATTTTTGTTTTTACTGTTATCTGCATTTTGTTTATTGTTCTTTGTGTTTGTTTTAATTACACGAGCTGCCCAGAGTCACAAATTTGAGATGTGTGGTAACACAAATTGAATGAATGAATGAATAAGCAAGCAAGAATGGCTAACCAAAATTTGTTTCCAGAAAATGCATAATATGAAAACAGCAACAACCTTGCCTGTGGTTTATTCTTAATTTTATGCTGCTAAATGTTAAAGCCCTAAATCATCTCAAACAAATTTCTTTTCCTTGAATTGATTTTCATATTGATTGTCTAAAAACCTCTGGGTAATCTCAAAGAACAAAGAACTCTACTGGTATCCTGAGGATTGTAATGAGATCTTAAAATACTATAAAGTGAAGAATAATTAAGCGATCCATCAATATATCATAACCTAGAAGGCTGCAATTCTAAATTCTTAGGAAAGAGTCACTCCCTGTGAAGGCTGTTGTAACCCTTTCCCCTGTTAAACCTTATCTGTTTCTCAAAGACTGTCTGGACAAGTCCCTGCAGTTTTGGGGCAAGGTTTTTCAGAAATGGTTTGCCATTGCCTTCTTCCTAAGGCTGAGGGAATGTGACTACTTCAAGGTCACACAGATGACCTTGTGCCTAAGATGGGATTCGAACGCAGTCTTCTGGTTTCTAGCCTGATGCCTATACCAAACTAGCTCTCCTTGAAACCATTAATATCAATAGCTGCAGTGTGAGAAAAATGTTGCAATGCCTATTTCGGTCTCAATATGATGTTTCTATTATATATTATATATTCTTTATATCTTTATCCATAAAGAAAACCCAAGCGCTGTCAAACTCCTTTCAGCAATTTATGACTTTGGTCCCAAAGCATTTAGCAAGGAGAAATGCTGTTTCTCTACAGGTTGTTTCTTTTTTTATTTCTTATTCAAAAATCTTGTCGCCAAGGTGATTGAAGAAACATCTCCACATAGATGATGTTCTCCATCTTACTAACATTTTTTCATCAAGATGGAGTTGTATCAATTAAAGGAGGTGCATTGCAAACAAATGTATGTAATGACTCAGGCACCATTAGCTGTTGAATACTAAAAACGTTCAGTAGTTTTAGACTTAGAAATTCAAACTGGTTAATGCAGAGCAGAACTGAGTTGGACTGCATTTTGGTGCAATCTTTTCCTGGCTATTTTATGTTTAACTGAAGCTAGTGAGAATCCAGCGTCATCTGATCATCCCCACCCTCAACATTTTGTTGACCATGCCTGTTTTGTATCTTTGCAATCCATGAAAAAGATCTGGCTTTCCAAATCTCATAGTTGCTCTTTGGTTAGTTACCAAAAACAATTCAGTCATGACATTATATTTATTCTATGCAAATAAACTGTAATGTTTTAGCCAAAGTATCTGAACACTAACAAACTGAATGTGTAATTTAAATACATTGAGTAGCACTGGGCTTTGTTTGCCTACATCAGATGAAGGGAACTTAATGCAGAAATAAATTGGCTTGGCACGTGTTAACAAAAATGACAGCATCTTGTTGCTGTAAGACATAATCTTTTAAACAGAACTACATCTTTAGTTCAATTGCCCTGAATAAGCAAAATTGTTCACATTGTTTTCTAAAACAGCTTGTTATTTCATTGGCTTGCATGCTTTCATAAGAATTAAAATACAGAAGGATTAAACATATATATATATATAGTTTTTTTTTAAATTATACATCCATATTGTGGTTCTGGGTATCATTAGGTTTTTCAAATATATATAAGCAAAAAATGCCTAACTCCTCATCTTTATCTTTATCTTCACCTTCATCAATATCTTTCAGATTCAATCTAAATATTTCTCTATTATATATAAACAAATTTAACTAGGTTTCATTCCATATTGATCCAATTCATGCTAACATTGTTAATAGTCTCTCTCAGGGTTATCAAATTTAACCCTCATTTTATTTTAGCGTATATCTACCTTTTTGTATTTCAATTTTTATCCATTTTTTTATATTAATTCACAATAATATGAAGAAATTTAACTTCGTATCATTCATATTAATTCAATTCACGCTAATATTATTATTAATCTCTATCAGAAGGATTAAACTTGATGTACCTCATGCACAGGTATACATTATTCAGGTTTGATTTTTCCCATCTTGAGATTGTCCTTGAACAGTGTTGACATAAGGAGCAAGATTCTGTTTTACTATTAGAAAAGCTAAGAACTGTCTCACATATGGGCTGGGCAATGAAGGCAATGTTGTAGAATTATGGCAGAAAAAAAGATATTGTCATTTATTTTTTGTGCCATGATAAGTTACCCAACTTTTAAAGCAGAGAGTGCACAAACCGAACAGCTGAAGTGCTGTAGTTTATAAAATGCACATTTTATATTCCAGTTTCCTGGATAGTTAAAATCAGAAACATTTTTTAAAATTTTATTTCCAAGACTTATATGGCCACGTCTCAGATAATAACTCCAGGTAGCTTACAACAATCAACAGAAAGAGAAATAAAGCTGGCTTGGTGACTTTGGGCCAGTTACTCTCTCTCTCAGCCCAACCCACCTCACAAGATGATTGTACAGAAAATAGGAGAAGGAAGAAATATTATGTACAATAATATCATTGTTTTGAGTGACTGATAACCACAACATCTGGAGGCAAAGTCCATTGATTAATTGTTCTCACTTTCAGGAAATTTCTCTTTAGTTCTAGGTTGCTTCCCTCCTTGGTTAATTTCCAATCACTGCTTCTTGCCTTGCCTTCTGGTGTCTTGGAAAATAGATTGCCCCCCCCCCCTCTTCTTTATAGAAACCCCTCAAATATTGGAATATTGCTATTTTATTCCTCCCTCTCTGGTACTTCTTTTCACTAAACTAAACATACCCAATTCCTGCAACTGTTCTTGGTATATTTTATCCTCCAGTCTCCTAATCATCTTTGTTGCTCTTCTCTGTACTTCCAGTCTCTCAACATCTTTTTTATGTTGTGCAGACAAAAACTGGATGCAGTGATTCCAAGTTGTACCAATACTTCACGTGATCTTGATTTTATCCCTCCGTTAATGCAGTCTAGGACTGCATTGGCTATTTTAGCAGCTGCAGAACACTGCTGGCTCATATTTAAATGATTGTCCACTAGGATTCCAAGATCCCACTCACAATTACTACTATTGGGCTTGGTACCACCTATTTTATACCTGTGCATTTGGTTTTTCTTGCCTAAATGTAGAACCTTACTTTTCTTGCCTAAATGTAGAACCCAATTGAATTTCATTTTGTTAGATAGGGCCTGGTGTTCCAGTCTGTCAAAATCCTTCTGTATCTTGATCCTATCTTCTGGAGTATTGGCTATTCCTTCCAGCTTGATGTCATCTGCAAGTTTAATGAGTTCCCCTTCTGTTAGCATCTTAACAAGTTGCAACAATATTTGTAAAGCAATGTTTGTGAGATATTTAGATATTTTGTTAGAGTTGTGGTGGTGCAGGGATTAGAATGGAGTATTGGAGGCTAATTCTGTTGACTGCCGATTGCCAGCTGTTCAATTGGCTCAAGGTTGGCTCAGCCTTCCAGCCTTTCAGTAAAATGAAGACCCAGATTTTTGGGGGCAATATGCTGATTCTGTAAACCACTTAAGAGAGGGCTGTAAAGCACTGTGAAGCAGTATATAAGTCTAAATAGCTATTGCTATTTTATATCCCATTAAATGCCTAGTTAGGTGCTAAAGTCTTTAAATTCACAACTTATTTGAATGAAAGACATTCAGTAAAGCATCAAGTTTATTGTTGGATAGTATATATTTAGTATTTTTCATAACCCAGTGCTAACATGGAGTTTATAAAATAAACCTTTGACCAATATTGGACAACTCCATGTGTAGTCTCTTAGCTTTGCTCACCAGCTTCCTAACTTTCCAAAGGGGGGGCATTTTTTCCCCCCAGAGAGATTATATGTTTTAAATGGTTGAAGGGTACAGTGGGAACAGGAGATCTCTGTGATACAAATTGTTCCAATCCCTAACCTTAATCCTCCATTTTCTGGGCTGCATTTAGACAGCTTTTTGTGTTTTTGATTGGATGAAGGATTAAAGACAGAAAAGGGAGCTGTTTGCCTCCCACAGGCTTTCTGCTGCCATCCTGACCCTTAAACCTTTCCAAACTACTGAAAACAATCTGAAATTGGCTCAAAAAAACCCATCTTTCGGGGATTTGGGATATAGATTTAAGAGGAAGAATGGGAGTTGTTTGTCTCCATTTCCAGTCTTAATTTTGAATACATTGAACACAATTAAAAGGCTGTCACTGAAATGCTATAATTTTGTTGCCAATATCTGGGGGTGAGACTGGTAGAATATGCAGTGCAGAAGAATACAATCTGATTGTTATCCATCCTTAGTTTAGGTAATGTCTGGAAGCACATAATAGGACTTGTTCACACAAGTTTCTAAAAAATTTCTCCTGGAAAATTACTACATGAAAGTGATTACATAGAAAGAAAATTTTGTTTAAACAAATAGGCAGAGATTTGGCCTCCAAAAACAGTTTTAAGAAATGATTCAATGGGAGGGAGAGAGGGAGGGAGGACAAAGGGAGGGAGGGAGGGAGAGAGAATAAATTTACATAGCTTCTGTGGGTTTGTTTTTTAAGCACAAATTCCTTTAATTTTCCCACTGTATTCTTAACTATTACAATATATTAATAATGCTCATTTTACATGAGACAGTATT